CAACTGCAACCCAAAGCTCAAAATTTTGTGTTTGTTACACTTGTAAAACTTAATAGGGACAAAGTTCAGCCTGGTAAATGATGTTCTCTATATGTTGTGTGATCTTTCATAATTTTATGTCATTGTTTGCAGAAAAACACGGGACATGTTCTTATCCTGTTGTCCATGATGAGTATGAGTACTTCCTAACGACCTTGAATGTTTACTTCAAATATAATGTCACTGTAAGTTGATTGTTATTCTATTTATTTACTGCAATAAAGTTTGCCTTCTTGTATATTTTCTATTGATTCTAAACTTTGATTCAGTTACTTATTTGCATATATTCAGTATTGGGGCCATGAAATTATTAGATGTATCAGACGCAACAGCAGTTTTATAGCTCATCTTGAATAACTTGGTTCGTATATTATATGAAAACTTAAATCACGGATGTTATCAGTTTCTTTCCTAAGAAAATTTCTCTTGGCTGATATGAATTTTTAAATAGATGATCATCTACAATATCAGATATACAAGTTTGTGGTAACGTATACCGCAGCCTGCTGGAAATTATTCATAGCAATATACCTAGAGGGTTAGCAGTTGGACTTTGTAAGTTGGCACAGAGTGTTGAAAATGGTGAACTTCTCGCATATGTGCTGAATTCTTTCTTAATTAACTGAATCATAACTTTCTGGGTATGTTGAAACATTGAATTACTTAACATTCTTTTAGCATTCCATGTTCTTTTTCTTGTTAAAAGGTCAGTACAACTTCATTTCATTTTGTTGAAAACTTATATGTTCATCCTCTTACTCATATAATTGCATAGTGTATTTGACTGGTATTTGACCATCATTGTAAAAATTGAAATTAACCAGGGAGTTCTGTTTGAAGCTGGGTATGTACCGTCAAATTCCGAGAAATATCCACTGGGAGGCATCATTACTGCCATTCAAAATGCCTTCCATGCAACTCCAGAGTTGATATGCTCGGGCGATGATGTGGAGGAACTTCGGATATGCTTCTATAAGGATTTCCAGGTTGGTTCTCTCTAATCCTCTGAATAAATTATTGCAAGATTTTCTTAATGCCGCTTTACTTGATTTTATAAGGTGATGTTGATGCCTCACTTAATATGTTTGTCATTGTTTAGTTTACGACATAAATTATTATGTCCTTCAATAGTACACTTCTTGTTTGTTAACTTCTTTCCTTATCCAAATGCAACCAGTAGATATCATGAGTATACAATTTAGATGTGTACGATTTCACGATCATTCCGATTTCATTCATCTTTCCTGTTAGCAGATAAAACACTTTTTTTTAATTCTGAATCTCTGCATGGTTAATCTTATGTCTAATTTACTGTGCACAAAACAATGCCTACTGTCTCACGATTTCCATTCCAACTTCTTTCATCTTTCCTGTTAGCATATTAAACGACTTCTTAGTTCTGAATCTCTGCTTGGTTAATCTTATCTCTAATTCTCTATTTGTTTAATTTATTATCAAAACATTGTCTAATTGTCTATTGTCAGAATATCATCCCCAAAACTCCCATTTCTTGCATTAAAGTGAAACGGTACTTTAATTCTTGTTTCTTTTACAGCCTCGTGACTGTGCAAGTGGATTTATCATTAGAAGTGACAGACTCTCTTCTGGGTCATGTCCTCAGTATGTTAGCTTGCCAGCATATGGATCATGGAGTAAGTTCACTTCCCCAAAAATTGGACGGCCACCTATATTTAATAGGATTAGTTCATCTGAATAGGATTAAAGCTTGATCACTTTGCGATCCGATCAACTATTATAAGATAACTAGCCAACCAACATATAGATATAGCCTTAATTATACGCCTAAAACCAGCAATGGAATGCCCATTTTTGTAGTCATAGAACCTCCTTTTATCGACCCCTAAGTACCCCGAGAATTAGTCTATGATTGAGTAGCCATGCCTATAAATTGTCTAGCATCGCTGTCGTTGTAGATCTCCTTATTTTATTTGTATAAATGTACCTAGGAACTGTATGATTATTCAGATCACATCAGGAGTATGAAAGCACAAGTTTGCTATTTCCAACTTTATCCTCTCAAATGTTTAATTCATCTTCACATGTTTTTTCAGGGTATTCAACCGTACAAAGGCAGTTTCTTGATCTGAGCGATAGTCTGACAGCAGTTTCATGATCTAAGCGATGGTCTGATTTGATAAGGTAAAATTTGGCAAGGGGTGTAAATCAGACCTTTATTGCTTTACTAAGAAGTTTAGCGCCTGCAAGTTTCAGCTTGCTATTTATAAGAGATATACATTCTTGTAAAGATTATGAGATGATTTTGATGTACTTTACTCGTCTTATCGAAATAGCATCTCAACGAGGAATTAATGCTTAATCTATTGTGCATAAATATACGTACTATTGGCTGCAAACGAATCCGCAGTTTGGCTTTATTGCATAGTTCCTTTCTATGAAAGTTAGTGCTTGGGGGTAGAGTCCATCTTACGGTTTCTACAAATTGTCTTTTGAAGCATTCCTTTGGAACTGCCGAACTGGCATAGAGTTATTCACACATCTTGTAGGTGAACAAATCTGGAACACAATTTTCTCAATCTTTCATTTTCCTTCGTGTTCTCCACGGGGTGTGCCCATAATTTGGTTGAGGCCAGAAGATATTCTAGTGAAGTCCAAGGATTGGCTAATAAATAGATAATTCTTCCTCTTATGGGGTCCAGCACGTCCAGCTTAATATCAGTCTTGACTATCCCCAATCTGGCCGAATCATTTGCTTGGGTTAACCTGAGGGAAGCTTCTTTCCCTAGCTAATCGCCATCACAGCCAGATTTAGGTTCCCAACTAAATTGGTCTAAAACAAGAAACTGCACATTCTGGAAACAGGTATTCATGCTCGTCTTCTGTGGCCTCACAGCTGAGCAAAAATTCGTCATCTAGTATATGAGAAGCTCGCTTCATTTCATATATCAATGCGTCAAGGTTTTCATATATTTCTTTGCATCTTGGATGAGCTTTGTCCCCAACAAGAAACATGTGTAGCACAGACTTGATCTCAATCCAGCTACAACCTGGCTCCTTCTTTAGCCCACCATACCTCATCACTTTCCTCATTTCGGCAACTTCTTTCCACATTCCTGCATCAGCATAAATATTTGACAAAAGTATATGAGAAGATGAGTCCTCAGGGTCCAATTGCAAGAGAAATTTTGCTGCTTTTTCTGCTACCTCCACATTTCCATGCATCTTACACATACTAAGTAGAGTTCTCCAGATCACATCATCAGCCTCAATAGGCATGTCCTGAATAAGCTTCAGAGCTTCACTAATTTGGCCCGCCCTCCCTAGTATGTCAACCATACATGAGTAATGTTCCAATTGAGGATCCAATCCATAGTTATTCGACATTGAATTGAAGTGTTGCAGACCTTTCTCAACAAGCCCAATATGAGCACAAGCTCTTAGGACTGCAAGAAAAGTTGCATGATTTGGTCTAACATCCTCAAGCTGCATCTTTTCAAAGATCTGCAAAGCCTCGTCCCCAAGACCATGTTGTGCATAGCCACAAACCAAAGCATTCCATGTCACAAAATCCTTTTTTGGTGCTTTTTCAAACATCAATCTGGAATCCTGCATGTTTCCACACTTCGAGTACATGTCAACAAGAGTGCTTGTTATAAACACATCCGATTGCAATTCTTGCTTTATAATTTGAGCATGAATTTGCTTTCCTATCCCAACAGTAGCTAGATTGGCACAAGTATCAAGAACTGTTGCATAGGTAAAGTTATCAGGTTTTATTCCCTCTTCCAGCATTTTAGAGTAGAATTTTTGAGCTTCTTCACTTTGTTCACGCAATGAGAAGCCCGATATGATTGCATTCCAAGAAACAATTGTCTGTTCCTCCATTCTCTCATGAAGTTTCTCTGCCTCTTCTACCTTTTCACATTTGCAGTACATATCTATTACAGCACTCCCAATGAAGCACTCCAACCCCATCCCTGATTTTATGATTCTATTGTGAATCACCATGCCAATGTTCAAATCTTGACGAGCTGCACAGGCCTTTAAAACACTACCATAAGTGAATTCATCTGGTTCCATCCTTGCCTGAAGCATCCGAAAAAATAGTATCAAAGTTTCATCCTCATGTCCATTCTGCTCGTAAGCTGCAATTATTGCATTCCAAGACACTGCATCTTTTATTTCCATTTCGTCAAATAAACGCCGAGCTTCACGTGGTGCTTCACATTTGCCATACATGTCCATAATGGCATTTGCAACACAAACATTCGACCAAAAGGGAGTCTTACAAGCTACCCCATGTATCTGCATTCCCTCTAAATGCCCTTTGAAAACTGCACAGGCACTAAATGCACCAGATAGGCTTATTTCATCAAACCCAAGATAAGACTTCAGCAAACGCTTGAATACTAATACAGCTTCATATCCTTGATCACCTCGAGCAAACCCAACAATTAAGGCATTATAAGATTGCAAGTTATGACTTGGCAACAAGTTGAACACCTTCCTAGCATCAGACAGACTATTAGATTTGGCATACATGTCCAATGTGGCAGTTGCTACAATGACATCAGATCCAAAATCAGTTTTCAATGCATGACCATGCAATTGAGACCCCAATTTTAAGTCAGATAACCCGGCACAAGACCTGAAGAGACTAGCATAAGTAGATTGACTCACCCCTACCCCTTCTTTTTGCATCTTCTTGAACAGCTGTAATCCATTAGCAAACTCATTATTTTGAACGCAACCTGCAATCAAAGCGCTCCAAGAAACCCAGTTCTTTTCAGGCATCTCATTGAAGAAACATATAGACCCATGTAACCTCTTGCATTTTGAATACATATCCACCATTGCACTCCCCGTCACCACATCAGTAGCGAGACCCAACTTGATCACCATCCCATGCACCTGCACCCCTAACATAGAATCTTCCAGACCCGAACAAGCTTTCAAAACAACAGCAAAAGTTGTTCTATCAAAAGCAATACCATCTCTTCCCATTTCCATAAAAGCTCGAATTGATTTCTGATAATTACCATGTTGCAAATACCCCGAGATCATAGAATTCCAAGAAATTACATCTCTTTCAGGCATCAAATCAAACATCAATTTTGCCTTCTCCATATCACTAACCATAGAATACCCAAATATCATGGCGTTCCAAGAAACTGTATCTCTCAGAGGCATTTTATCGAATACTCTATCAGCATAACCCAAATTGGAGCATTTTATATACAACTGAATCAAACAATTAGTGACAAAAATAGTGGGTTGAAATCCAGATATTATCATCCGAGCATGGGCTTGCTTGCCTGGTTCCTGGGTGCATTGTTTTGCACATTCTTGGAATATATGAGAGAAGGTTTTCCTGTAGTTTGGGTGCATTTGATTTGCTACTGCAAGTGTTTTAAGTGCAGGGCAATGAACTTTTGAAATCATGCTTTGGCGGGTGACAGATCGTTTATTTCTCCCACCGGTCCAATTTATATGATACTCTTATTAATAACCATTTGAAAAAACAACACTCCTCTTTTACTAAAAATTTATCATATACTCCATTTTAAGTATATTTATTTATTGTAAAAAAATTGATTTCTAATTTTTTTATTTAATTTCGAATAATGTGAATTTTATTTGAAAATATTAAATATCGATATCCGAATTGGGATCAAACACTAAAAGGTTTGATTCTCAAACTCCAAATTTCTTCATTCTAATTAACACAGTTAAAAAGTAGTTAACTATTTCACCAAGAAAATGCGGGGATATCCAAAAAATTGAATATGTTGATACATAGTTTGCTTGACCACCTAGTTTGATTTTTTCAGCTAATATCCTGTTAGTAAATAGATTACTAATTCAAGCCGTGAAATCAGTCATTGATACTTGCATTGGGGTTCACACCCCTTGGGTGCAGCCCTCCCCGACCCTGCGTTCAAATGTTTCGTACATCGAACTGCTCTTTTTTATATCCTACTAGTAAATAAAGAATTACGTAGGTATGCACCTAAAACTCAATTACTAGCTTGGTGTATTTACGGCACGGTCACAAGAATATAGGACGCTAATGATGATAACGGTGCTCATAGATTACCATATTGCCAGTTAGTTGGCAAGCACATACTAAAAACTTTAATTGCTTATGCCATAGGTTTTGGGGCTGTAGCTCCGCAGCTGGATAGTAATTTGAGGTCCCATGTTATATGGTAGGGGATATACAAGGATGGGGAAAATGTTGTGGGGAGAAAAGGGTACAACTTACCTACACCAATGTTAAACTAAATTATGCCAATTCACATTTTTTTTTCAAAAGTGAAAATGCATCACTTGACCATAATCAAGTAATAATTGTGCATAGAAGTGAAAATCACATGCTTTGCATATATTCGTTAAGTATAAATAAGTAGCTAAAGTTGGTCTGGAGATTCAGTGGACTGGTGGAGAGTGCATAGAAATTGACTGCAGTGCATGTCCTAGTGATAGGGAATCAATACAGCTTGGATAAAAACTAAGACAACCATAGTAGCCCAAGTGTTGCAAGGATGATAAGGGGGAAAAGTGCTTTGTTGAATTTGGAATACATGCACTACAATCTTGTAAATTGTTCAACTGGTGAATTCTCATTCTACTGAGCATGCAAAACTGAGATATCAATAAAAAAGCAAAAACACAGTATGATAAAAACATAAGCAACAATATTTCAGGATTCTTGTACTGCACTTCACTCGTCATCCTCATCATCATCGTCGTCATTTCCAGCAGCTGAATTCAAGGCGTTCAGCCTCTCGATCAACTTAGCCTTCCTTTCCTCATAAGTTAGCTTCTTTAGATTGTACCTGCAAAAAGTATCCAAAAATGAATATGCAGAAAGATAGCATATAATTGGAATAATCAGCACATATGCCACATTTTTTACATGGCACTCTAGAAATAAAGACTATCCAGGCAAACATAAATGAATTCCATATTTCAACGAGAAATAGGAATTGGAGATCCTTCAACCATGAGAGTAAAGTGCTTGTCAACATTGACCATACAAATGCATGAATATATTAATTTTTTAATAGAAACAGGAAGCACATAAAAGCTGATAATGAATTAATTAAACTAAAAAAGATGTTCGACCTCTTGTGCTGCTTGGGAGGGTGTTTGTCCGACTTCTTGAAGGTAGGATCAGCACGTATGGCAGCATGAACTTTCTTGTACATCTCCTCGAGGTGATCAGCCTCAAGACCCTTCTTGATGTACTCACTAAAGTGTGACTGATACTTCTCAGGTTCATCTTCGATCAGAGTCTATAAATAGAGGGAAGAGGTTTAGCATAATAGTCATTGTGTTCACCTAGATGTAGTAAGATCAACATCATAACACTCCATTGAACATTTGCATGGATTCAATGATTATATAAAGTAAAAACAGAGTCCATATAGCCATTCTATTTCACCTTCATGTACGTAGCAACATGACCACCATAAATGTAGTTTCGGTGAACATCAGCATCAAGTTGTTTAGAATCCTTGCTGAATCCAGCAAACCTCTTCTCACTGTGAGGGATATCAAGTCCACCATCCAACGCACCCTGAATCCACCAAGCAAAGAATTGCATTTATTTACACAAAATGTGAAAAATCATATGGCATGAATAATCCATCTTAAAAAACAAACGGTCACATGGCATGAATAATACATCTCAAATCTCAAAAGAGAAAAGAAACAGACCAATTTGACAGCTGGGAGGGACTCCACTTAACTTCAAAAATCCACATTATAATAGTCAGAAAGTAACCCACTATTTGCTTTCCTCGGACAATTGCAATCAGGGTTTCATAACACCATATTCTTCGAGATTTAAGCAAGTGGCTACTATTCATTAAAGGGTTCACAAAAAATAATCAAAGCATCTGTTACACCAAGTATATTTTAACTTGAGATAGAATTACTACGTCTATCTCATTGATATGGCAATCTATCCTCTTTGGTTCATTCCAAAAAGATTGATACATTTCTATATTTGGAAACGCTTTAATGTTAAGGTTTCCATATTACCCTTAATGGCATGATCTTATAGGAGTGACAAGGTATGTTGCATGCCAGATAAGGATACTTTTTGTATGTTTTAACTCATTGGCTTAAGTGTAAAAAACCCTTCTTTATTTCTTAAATCTCCAGTCAAACATCCACATGATATATAATGGAGGCAGTAGAAATTTTGCAATGCAGTTTAGACAGAGACTAAGTGATACAGCACCATACCAAAAGCAGAATTATACCTTGAGAGCACCAAAGACACGATTTCCAGTAGTAGTCCTTATAAGGCCAACATCCAAGAGAGCACGGAACGGCCTCCTGCTTTCAGCAGGTTCAACAGAGTAATCCTCCCCATTGACCTGTAAAAAATTGATACCAGTTAACAAATAAAAGCCCCCTACAGAAGGACAAAACGCCCATAACACTACAATACATCTGCAATTACCTCAAGGTTCCCTTGATACTCCTCGTCCATTTCGAGCTTTTTGAGAACTCGTCGTGCCAAAAGAAGTCCAGTACAGTAGGCTAAAATGAATATAAATGAGTTAACAGTTCAAGAAGAAATTAAGAACTACACAATTTCATGTGAGCTAACCAAACAAAATAGAATAGCTTGTGTGGAAGTACCAGCAGCATAATTTGTCAGTCCAACTTCAAGGCCATAACGAGGCAGCTCATTAGCATAAGCAGAGGCAAGAATCATGTCACCAGCAATACTAGCCGACACAATTTGTGCAATTATGTCCTTGTTAGTCTAGAAAAAATGTTAAGGAAGCAAACCAAAGGACCAGCACAGCTACTGTGCCACACTCCAATCATGTGATGCGCACTCACTGTGACAATTTCATGATCCAACCATGTAACATTAAATGGATAATACATGTCAAAACAATAAACAAAATTCCAGGAAGAAGCCATCACATTTAAGTAATTTTTAAAGTAAAGCAAAAGTAGTAGGATACAAATCGGACAACCAAACGATATTTTGGAGTGTTGTACTTATTTTTGTCCTGATTGATCAATCTGTTCCTAGCTCTGTAGTCTGTTTTTCCCTCTGCATGGTAAAAAAAAATTCAAAAATGGTGAGTCAGGAATTGCAAATTTGAGAACAGAACGAAAGGGATGAAAACAATATAAGCTGCACCTCTCCTTCTCTTGAATTTAACCTGGAAACGCTTGAAATATGCCCTTGTCTTCTGGACTTTGATGAAGGCCTGCAACATAATAGAATAACAGTGTCATGCACAAGAAATGCATCAGTTCATAATTTAAAAATATAGTTCCAACTTCACCAAGAATCCATTTGAAGATGCACATTTCAAAAAGATGCTTTTGTTGTGTTGGTACACACACATTACGTCTGGTGTTTCTTAAGAGTCATTTTAGTATGTTTAAAGATTTATATATCAGTAAAAATGTAGAAAATTTAAACAGTTAGAGAACCCTTAATTGGTTTTGAAAGACAGCTAATTAAGTAGTAATTGTTTGAGTCCAGAAAAACAGAACAAATGTTGAAGATTCAATTCCAATCTCAACAAGTTTTGGATTGAGGTACATTTTTAATTTTTTATCAACCTGTCGACATTTTCTAGGCAATATAGTTGAAATAATATCATTTAGCATCGATTCGTCCCAACCTAACAGAGACATCAAAACATCATTAAAGATTCTGATTTGAAGTTCTTAATGAAACCAATAAGATTCATTACTGTGTTGTCAAAGAAACCAAAAGAAGTGGGGAAACAAAAGATATTTACATATTAATCTAAACCTACAAGTCAATACAATTGTACATAGAGACCAATCCTTACTAATCAAAACAAGATCCTTGCAGATTTGTATATAAGTGTGTAGAAATAAATGTGAGGCTTAGTAAATTTCTAGTTTTACCTACTGAAAGTTGGAAAAAAGCAGCCCAAATAAAATGTAATAAACATTTCTTAGAAGTAATGTAGCAGAATATATAACTCAAAACTTGTTTGAGACTGAGGAGTAATAGTATAAGTTAATGTACTGATGCTCCTCCTAGAAACTGGAAAAAGTTATAGCGTAGGCATATCAGAGATAGTATAAACCGTAACGATATAGAGTTATAATGAAAAAAATACAAGTTATTATCCTAAAACAAAAATGTAGCACACACTGTTCTTTCTCTTCCAAATATCGGCTACCAAATTAGATAACAAAGCATCGAAAAAAGGTGTAAAGGAAAAATGGAGTTTATCGGAAAAGCTCGGATTTGTGAGCCTTACCATTATTGCTCCTTGAAAAAACTCCGGCGGCGGCCGCGAGCGAGGGGGAGCGGGGACGGGGGGTGAGAAGCTGCTAATGAGAGGAGAGCAATTGCTGCTGCGAAGCTAATTCATATACCTCCAGCTAAAACCCTAGTCGATGTGAACGAGAAAATGATAAAATGGTCCTTTAATTTTTGGC